GCCTGACTGGTCAGGGACTGACTCAAGGAATCCATCTAGTTCCGCCTGGGAGACAGTCGGGGGGGGGGGGGCTATTGGGAAAAAACCCTTAGGTAAGATGGACTATTGAACAGTCTTGGATCCCGAATGGGGGGGGGCTCTGTGTACTCAGACCCCTGCTTTTCATAGGGGGTATGTTGCACCGTCTTCAGTTTTTTTTTTTTTTTTTTTTTTTTTTTGTAGGGATTGGTTTCTGTGTGCAGCTATGGGACTACTCCATCTAGGATTTTCCAGATGTAATTTATGGTGAACCTTTCTTCTCTGCGTCCTCTACAGAGAGTACAGGTCAAGGGACTGGCTAGTGCCATGCCTGGTGGTGCCACAAACACGTGTCTGGGTCTAAACTACAACATGATTTCGCCATCGATTAATTACGTGGCACTGCGCTTTGTCTGCAACTTGTAAGGCTAATATTGAGTATTCTCAGGCCAGGATGTGTTGCTGGCGCACCTCGGTAATCCCTTATATTATGAAGTACATCATCACTTTACACACGCTGACTTGTACGTTTTTATCTTGTTTTTTTCATATGCATTGTCTCGTGTTTACTCATCACATTTTCATTTTAAGTGCTTATATAACACTTAAAATGAAAAATAGTTTAATGTTTGGCAAATTAGACTTAAAAATTTATGGAATTCTTCTCATGTTTGTCGTCACATGAAACTTGATAGGAATCTTCTTCCGGTGATCTGTTTAATGCTACGTTAAGAGTAACTTTTAAATATTTGCTGTATGAAAACAGACCTTTGACCTGAAAACTCAGCATAGTCGCCCCAGCATGATGCTAAATCATTGTTATACGATACTAAAGTAGAACTGCTATACTGATATTGCTTCAGGGTTGAGCATGTAATCCACACGGAATGCAACTGTGTATACCTCTGGCACCTGTGAAACGTACCCAGTTCATGCCTTGAAAACTACATTCTGTTTTGTAGGGTGTGTAGACAAGCCAAATTGTTGAAGTAGACATGAATAGTTCTGGTGGTGTGGTACCTAAACCTCGTGGTGCCACCGGTATCAAGTATTTGGCACTTGTCCAGGCTCATGCCTGTAACCGTTTTCCAGGGTTCTACCGCGGCAGCCAGGCTTCCTTGGTGATCTCTTGATCACCCAGACTGTTTGTGCTAGCAACCCGCAGGCCTACATAGCGAACCATCACTATCACCACCAAGTAGAAACACACACACCACTAAAACCGGGGTGCTACCTGTGTACTGCCCCACCACAACTACCTGTGTATGACCCCAACCGCAACCACCTAGGTGAGAACCCCCCTCCCCCATCCACCCGTGAACGACCCCCACCACCTCATCTTGAACGACCTGAAGACGATTACAGCCTGCTCGGCCTTGTTCCTGACCAGACCACCAGGTTGATGGCCAGATCATTTGGGCTGTTGGTACTAGCCGTACCCAGTCCAGCTTATTAGGAACTACCTTGAGGAACTTAAGACCCCCCAGTCAAGACAGCCAAGAGTCTGCAGTACCCCTTATGAATGAAGGGAGGGTGTTGAAAAGTCTTGGACACTTTGCCCTTAATGTGATATTTCTTTGATTACTCATTGCAACCATGTTTTTTTTTTATTTGGGTATTGAGTGTACTAATTGCACCATTGCTTATCGTTGGGGATGTGTTAGTGTACTCAATGGATCCCTGTCATTGCATCAAAGGTATATCAAAGGGACCACTGCTTGCCATTCGGGTATTCTTAGTTTATTCATTGCACCCTTGCTTGGCATGGGGTATCATAGTCATTGTGTACTAATTGCATCACTACTAATCATTAGGGTATCGTAGTTAGGTAAGACACATATGCAACAGATATTGTTTCAAACTATGGAACAATGCTCTTCTCCAGACTGAGGGACTGACCACCTCAAAACCTTAAGGGTGATGGACTGATTACATCGTCTTCAAGTCTCTTCTGCTTCTATCAACTTCTCTGTACTCGACTGAAGAAGCCTACTGTGTAGGCGAAACGTTTCGAAATAAAGATACCTAACTGTTGCATATGTGTCTTACCTAACAACCTGTCGGTATTTTATACCATTTTAATGTTCAGGGTATCGTAGTGTACTTGTTGCATCCCTGCTTGTCATTGGGGTATTAATGTATAAATTGCACCCTTGGTTGGCATTGTGGGTATTTTCCATCGACTGTTAAACCTCTTAATCTCATTCGTAAGTACTTCTTTCTCTCAGTAGTGTAGATGTGTGAACATGGAAGCATGTGTGGATTGGCTAATTTCGGGCCCATGAAAATACTATTTAATTTTTATATGTAATGACAATTTTTCATTTATTGATAAAAACTATTCTTGGTGACCCATGCACCACCACCACGACCCACCACCTGTCAAGTCACCTAGAGCATGATCTTAGAAAGGGAAGGTAGAACCCATTCATCATATAAAGTTACGTCTCCAACTTGGGTCTTAGTTGCGAGATGATATCAGTGTCTGTGTTACGTTACACATTCAACAAAGGTGGTAGCAGTGGTTCCGTTATAA